AAAAAAAAACAAAAAATTCGATTTTTAAAATTTTTTATTTTATTTTTTGGCAATCCAAACAAATTCTATTACCAATTCTAATAAACTTTATCTATTTAATTGACAATTTTTATGAAAAACAAAGCCAAACGAACCAGGTGAAAAATTATACCAATCAAACACAATTAATTACAATTCTCAGTAAAACAATTTCTAAACAATTCAATTCATTGGAATTCATTTTCTTTCCACTCATTTTCCATATTTGCAATCAAATGGACCCTTAAAGTTTCTAGTTTCCTTCCTAATTGTTTTTCAACTTCAATTTTACATGTTTTAAAGGCACTAAAAGCTTCATCAATGAAAATAATAAAATATCTATTACCACCTCTTGTTAGCATGCTATTTAATTCACATATATCGGAATGAACAAGTTCAAGTAAGTTTGTTGACCTTACTACACTATGAAATTACTTTTTAATCATCTTTGATTTAATACAAGTTTCACATTTTCCTAAATTATCAATTTCACATTTTATCAATCCACATTTAATCATTCTTTTCATAGTGCTAACTCCTATGTGTGCAAATCTACCATACCATAAATTAAATAAATCAGTAACATAGGCAAATGATTTGTTTTTATTATTGGTATCATGCTAAAAAATACAAAGTTTGACCATTCATTCAGTACAATAGTCATTTCCAACAAAATACCCATTATGAGTTAGTACAAGTTTTTCATATTCAAATAAAGATTTAATTCTTGATTTTCTCAATAAAACTCCACTTGCTAGGTTTTTATTCATTTCTGGTACATAAAGGGCATTTGTCAAAGTGATCTTCTTTTCCGAGGTGAAAATGAGTTCCAAATTGNNNNCGAGGTGAAAATGAGTTCCAAATTGCCTTTACCAATCACTTTAGATCTTTTTTCATTTCCCATTTGGATCTCTTGACCATTTTTAATGTCATGATAAGTTTTGAAAAGAGACTTCTCATAACAAAATGGATGGTTGCATATGTGTCATACCACTAATTAGGAACTTTTTCTTGGATTGCATTGATTTCACTCACCGTAGCACTAATCCCATCAATGAAATTTACTTGTCATTCCTTCTTTTGTTGTTTTCTATGCCTGCAATCTTTTGCATAGTGCCCCGCTTTTTCACAAACATAGCAAGGGTCCTTGAATTTGTTTTTGAACTTCCCTTGATCTTTTTTGGGACCAAGAGATTTCCCTTTCTTCTTGTACTTGTTAGAGTTTTCCACATTATCCACGGAATTGGCTTTTGAAGAGCTATCATAAGAACTTTCAGTTTTATCTTGCCCTTGATTCTTCCTCTATACGAAGATTTTTTTAATTTGTTCCAAAGAGAAATCTTCGGAATTGTGAAAAATCTTCTTCCTATATCCTTTTCAAGTTCTTGGAAGTTTAGCAATAATAGCTCCCATTTGGAAAGATTCGGAAAGATCGATTGTCACCGCTTTTAATTTGTTGACAATGACTTCCAATTCATGTACTTGAGGCAACAAATGAATATTATCAAGTATTTTGAAATCGAAATATTTAGAAATTAAAAATTTCTTGGTACCTTTCTCCTCGGCCTTATATTTGTTTTTAAGCGCATTCCAGATTTCCTTTGTCGAAGTGGTGTTGGTGTAAAGATCATATAACCGATCTGAAAGAGCATTTAGAATGTGACCGCGACATATCAATTCGTCCTCTTGCCTTTTCTTTCTTTTTGCACGAACTTCTTCAGTATCTTCTTTGCTTGCGTCGACAATTGGTTCCAAATTTGGATCAAGTACATAGAAGATTTTTAATATCATTAGTAAGAATTTGAATTTGTCTTGCCATCTTGTGAAATTTGATCCATCAATTCTATCCAAGCGCACCAAATCTTGATTCATCAACTTGATGACAGCAAGTGTAGTTTTCATTTGCATCCCAGTAACTGAGTAACTATCGTTTGAGAATGTTATGAAAAACTAAATACAGCAATGGAGAAAAAACAAAGGAGAATAAAATGATGGATATAAATCCGGTAAAGGCTTGAACACAAAGATTATATCATTGTCCTCAAACGATATCTGCCTCCTCTACAATGCTTTTAAGGATTTATTTACAAATAGTTTGTAGGATTAAACAAGCCTTATGAAGGTCACCAAAAGTAAAGTGAATCTTCAAATGAATAAGTGAAAAAATTTGATTATGTAAATGGACAAAATTTTCTCTCAAAATTGGACGAATAATCAATATAAAAGTTGATGTGCACAACATATATTTATAGGTTTCAACTATCCTTCACGAAGTGGTTACAAACTCAAATCAAAAGGTGTAATGCTCCATCAATCAACCATCAGAAAATTAAAAAAACCCGGTCAATAGTCACATTTTATAACTACGCGATCGCATAAGTTATAACTATGCGGCTGTCTCTGAATTTCCTGATCACGCCTATGCGGTCACATAGGTCACTTTCATGGCGTCATTTTCCTTTTTCATTCTTTCATGATTTCATCCATCCATGAATTTTGAACAACAGAAGGTCTGTGTGTCAATATAACCATATGACAATTCTCATCCAATGTAATTTAACCCAATACAAGATGCCAAAAATACAGTTGGATTCACTGCATAATCACATGGAAGGCTGCTCTTAGTTGATGATAAGACAGAATTAAAGTTCTTCACAATAAAAGAGTACTGAAGAGGGACTCTTCTGGTTATCTGAAATCATTAGTCTTATACATTCTTTGCCATTTGTAGAGTGGCTCATCTGTATTTCCATTACAAAAACTACTTTATATTTATGAAGTAGACAGAGTAAGTAAAGAAGGAGCAATTTCCATGCAACAAGTATCTTTCAAATTTAGAAAAGGGCTAAAAAATCTGGTTCAATTAAGATTAGTTCACCTGTCAAGTGCCTCCTGGTAATAAGGACCAGATAATTTATTGTGCATAGACAGCTAAGCAGTACTTTCTCTTCAATGATAATGGTTTTACGTGCCTGAAAGAGTCAATGAGATAAGAAGGCATTTACCTCTAGTCAACAAGATTGCAGACTGTCCAATAATATTCCACTTACTTTTACTTGTTATATAATAGTATTTGTTACATATTTCTGAACCTGTAGCAACAATGGATTCCTCCAAAATCCTTGAAGGCAATGAAGAATGCAGCAGCAATGAGTCTGGGTGGACGATGTATATTGCTTCACCTGTCGATGAATACAATCTCGATGATGAAGACACTGACGATGGCAGCAATGATAAACAAGAAGATGGGCTTCATGCTGAAGATGTTGCCGGAGACACTGATAGTGATGACTCTATGGCGTCGGATGCCTCTTCCGGCCCAAGTCATCGAGAACATCTCAGCTACCATGTTCGAGGAAGTCACTGTCCAGGTGTCTTTGGTCATTGTAGGGACAAAGATAACAGAAAATGGCTTAGTAAGAAACACCACCAACAGGAAGAGAAGAAACCTCGTGATGAGCAGATAAACGCAGCAAAAGACAAGCCAGAACACAAGGCAAATGGTGCTGGCAGATTGAAGAAAAAATGATAATGCTTCTTCAAGGAAAGTATATGAGAACATTTTCACCAGACGTTCTCAAAAAACCCTACCATATCTGTTCCAGTCCTATGAGGTATTCCAGAATGCTGAAGTTTTTATTTATTTTGTAGCTTTTGATTCCCAGTTTAATACAGTACCAAGTAACAACCTGCTTACCCCCTATATAGAAAATCCCTCTCTGACTTCTATGCATAAGCATATGAATGACTATACCTTGTTTGTGCGTGCAAGTAGGAAGAAATAGTTTCAAGCAGTCATTTAATCTTATCCAAGTCTGTAATATCAAGATAAGTTCCACTGATTTCAGAATGCTGGTACTTAATCACATATACACCAGAAAAAATGAATGCATCACATATTTTAATCAAACAATCCCCGACTAAAAAGTCATTACAATTTACAAACGGAAGAGTTTCGTCCATGTTTATCCTCAACAAGAAGATTGCAAAGCAGAATATGGAGGACAGGGCATCAATTTGATCCCTTGTGACCATCATTCATCACTATCAGTAACAACGGGCTACAAGGCACCAGGGACAGATTCAGGAAGGGTGTTACATTCAATATATATCCCTCAAAGCATTTAAAGCCATATAATATTAGCATATAGCACATCTAACTAGTAAGGAAAAAGATAACAAAAGCTTGGGCTTATTTTGCTAACATAAAAATAGTCCATGTGTTCAGCTACAAAACAATCCGAAATGGCTACACCAACTGCCTAAAACTTACTTTCCATACATCTGCTGTGTTAACTGCTAACTTTACTTTCCTCTAGAACAATTCCATACGATCCTTGAATTTGGTCCCATGTTAAATCCAGTAGAAAAGTACTAAGGTATTTTGTCATTTGTAAATTGTAACAATTAATCAACTATATGATTCATAGAACTGCTACAAAATGGACACGCCCTCCAGAATTTAGACACAAGCTCATGCAAGGTTCCAAGTTATGAAAATAATGATCCTAGATAGTTTGGTGAAATAACATTCCACGCAAAATGACAAAATGGCATCAGTCGATAAAATATTGGAGAAATAGTCAAACTTAGAATAAAAAAATAAATAAAAACTGAAAGAAGACACATTTATCAATAACTTTGTAATAGCAGAAGAGTCTAAACCAAGTTGCTGAGGTAGACCCTATATATTGATGGGTCAACCAATGAGCACAGCTCCAAGCAGGAATAACCTTGGTCAGCCTAGAAGGACACCACGACTTGTGCTCTTTAGTTTTAACCATAAGGTCCCAACTCCCAAAGGATGAAGAAGAGTATGAAACACCTCTCGCTTGTCCAAAGCTGGCCATAAAAAATCAAGGCGTTAGCCCTTACTATTCTACAATGATTCCCATGCATTGTAAACCAAGAGAGGTATCGAGCTCTAGGTGCAAGGATGTCCTCGTACTTCCGGAAGGTGAGGGACTAAGCTCAAAAGCTTTAAACAGTACGAGATCCAGCAAATCCCACGAGCACACAAAACAGCAATACGGATGTGTGATGTCCTAACATAATTGCTGCAAGTATTTCAAGCTCATGAAGATGGTTCCGTTATTATTGGAAAAGACAAAAATAAGTTGGTTTAGATGGTCCCCGCTCTTAGCTAACCTCAAAGATAACAAGCTGCTGCAGGATAGCAATGAAGCAAAGAAGTAAACCCACGACAACCAGATACATTTATCGTTGATGGAGTCTTATACAAGAGGGAATTCTAAATACCCCTACTCCACTGTGTGGATGAATTGGAGGCAGACTATGACCTCAGAGAGATCGACGAAGTAGTCTGTAGAAAACAAGTGGGAGCACTGTTCCTAACTTTATGAAGGCAGCTACTACTGACCAGTGATGAAAAGGATGCCTATAATATGTGAAGGAATGAGAGAAACGATAGAGGTTCACAACGTTGTTGAGGTTACTACCAAAAAGAACTCGCTAGAACCACCAGTACCAGGCCTACTGAACAAAAGAAGGACCGCCCTTGCAATAAGCTGCAACACGTCAGATCTGAGGTAGATCTTACAACTATGATGATGGTGCCATGTAACTCCCACTGACCCAACAGTGCAAAATGACTCATCGCCTGTCCAAATTCACTGAGCACCGATTCAGTCAAAG